GCGTTATAAAGTCAGAATTGCAAGATAAAAACTCACAGTTCAGAGAAAAATTTGATTGATTTTTTTTTTGGTTGGTCAAAAAAAATTATTTTTCAGAAATGTGATTTTGTATCAGAATTGTGAGTTTGTATCAGAATTATGAGTTTGTATCAGAATTACGAGTTTGCATCTCACATTTCTGACTTTGTAACTCGCAATTGTGAGTTTATATCGTACAATTCGGAGAAAAAATGTCAGAATTGCGAGAAAAAAGTCAGAACTGTGAGATAAAAAGTCACAAATAACTTTTTTATTTTTTATTCAGTGGCAGAAATGGGCTTCCATAGTTCTTCTATGCAGCTTTGTGCCAATTGGGAAAAATATATAGTTTCCAGGTTCTCGACACAAAGAGGACCGGAAAACATGAGCTCTTCATAAACCTCCAGTGGAAACAGAAATACTTCTGGGGCATTTAGCGAGTTTCAATGGCATTCCAGTGTTCTTTTAAATCAGAAATCAACATCCTGTCTTTATTGACTCATTGTCCTCTCGTTGTTCCAAACCACGTATATGACTTTCTTTCTATAGTGGGACACAAACAGAGAGATTTTGCTAAATAAATCGGCTGCTTTTTTTTTATACCGTGAAAGTCAAGTGGTCAGAGCTGTCAAGCTGCTAAAAGAACAAAAAAACACCATTAAAGTTAGATTTAAACAAAATAATAATAATGAAAAAAACCACTGCATTCTATGTTTTACAGTTACACAGTAGATTTTTGTGAAGAACAGATTGAGAACAGATACTGTAAGATCTCGTTTCTCATTTACACAATCCGCATATTCATGATTTCAAGCTTGATGTGCAGCAAGTGTGAATATACGCTTAAGATTTGAGAGGGACATTTTCAGTGAATAACAGCTTAATTTTGGTCTTTTCCTCACACTTGGCTCTCAGAAGACTTAAAATATAGAAATATAGTCATATCAACTCCTTATATATATTTATAGAGCTTGACAGCCCCTATATATAAAAGTCACTATATGCTTTCAGTACACAGAACAGAGCGGAAAAAAAAAAATCCTAAAAATGTGTTTTTGTGCACATAATAAGGAAAGTAATCTTGTTTTGGAACAACACGAGGACGAGTAAATTATGACACAATTTATTTTCTACATGTTAAATGCACTGTATCTTAATTTCAATTCAGTAATGGACTGTAATGTATCATATCACGCCGTCCAAATCCTAAAAAAACATGCATAAATGCAAAAAAAAAAAAGAGTTTTTATTTAGCTAAACATGAACGTTTAATGTATACAGATTGAATTACGATGTAAAATGCAGTAGAGATCCAGCTTCTTGCAAATCATTCAATGGTCTTTGCTTGAATTATATGTATGAAAGCATAATCAGCACTATTTTAAGTGGGAAGTATTACATTTTATGAGTTATCTTTTTCTTTGCACTTACTGGACGTATTTTAAGTTGCCGAATGTTAGTTACTCATCTATGAATTCAGTTTCTGTGTATCAGTTTGGATATCTTCTGCTCTTTTCTGTCATGTCTTTGAATTGGAGATTCAGTGATCAAAGCTGGTTGTTGACGAATGTTTAATGTGCATTGTGATGCATATCAACTCCTTATATATATTTATAGAGCTTGACAGCCCCTATATGTATCCTATATATGCCCCTATATATAAAAGTCACTATATGCTTTCAGTACACAGAACAGAGCGGGAAAAAAAAAATCCTAAAAATGTGTTTTTGTGCACATAATAAGGAAAGTAATCTTGTTTTGGAACAACACGAGGACGAGTAAATTATGACACAATTTATTTTCTACATGTTAAATGCACTGTATCTTAATTTCAATTCAGTAATGGACTGTAATGTATCATATCACGCCGTCCAAATCCTAAAAAAACATGCATAAATGCAAAAAAAAAAAAGAGTTTTTATTTAGCTAAACATGAACGTTTAATGTATACAGATTGAATTACGATGTAAAATGCAGTAGAGATCCAGCTTCTTGCAAATCATTCAATGGTCTTTGCTTGAATTATATGTATGAAAGCATAATCAGCACTATTTTAAGTGGGAAGTATTACATTTTATGAGTTATCTTTTTCTTTGCACTTATTGAACGTATTTTATGTTGCCGAATGTTAGTAACTCATGAATTAATATCAGTAATATATTGTTTGATTTCAGTTTCTGTGTATCAGTAAGGATATCTTCAGCTCATTTCTGTCATATCTTTGAATTAGAGATTCAGTGTTTCAGATTCAATGTTTAATGTGCATGTACACTGTGATGTGTATCCATATCCAGTGGTGTGTTTGTATGTTGTGTCTCATTCAGGTGGAGCAGGCTGTGTATGTGTGTTTGGAGTATGAAGTTCAAGTCTTAAACATGCAAAACATTTGGGTAACAACCCTAAATTATAGTGTCATGCATGTAGTGCTCTAGTATCTGCTCATAGAAGACTGTGTCTATTTTTTAAACTAGGGATGGATCAGTTGTGATGAAGAATAAAAACTGTGCAAGCTGTCATTAAAATGTTTTTGTTCACTTCTGTTGTCTTTTATGTCTATTTTATGCATATTATTTTATGTTTTTGTATTTTATGCAACACAGTCATGGAAAACCTGGAAAGGCCACAAAATTTGTAAAATTATGATTTATATGCCTGGAAGAGTGAATAGTGGATATGCAATTTAGCTGTACTCTAAAATGTGTTATTGGATATAAATACATTTTTGAGTGCGGTATTTATATAAAATGACTTGCATTCAGAAATTACCAACAGTTGGACATTCAGATGAGAAAACTGTCCCTGTGAATGAAAATGATATTCTCAGCTCTTCTGGTCTCGTGATATGTGCGTCTATCGTTGACCTTATAATGCAGATTCTCCCTTGGGCTAAATGAGAGCAGACTAATTGATCTTCCATCATGTGTTCACCAGGCATGCAGAGACTGACACTTGAAATAAATATGGCATAATTACATTAGATAGATACATATGATACAATGCGATACAGATATAGTTTAAAATATTTTATATATTAGATAAAATATGAATAAAATCTATATTGGGTAGATTACTTACAAATTGTACTCCGTTACTGATTCCAAATTGCATAACAAAAATTGTAATTAGTAACGTAATCCATTACATATTTTAGGTAATATAATCAGATTACTTTTTTGATTACTTTTGACCTAACTTGTTTATCACATTGATTTAAACAGGACAATTTTGTACCATATTGATGTAAAAATGCAAAGAAAAAGAAAATATGTTCCAATTTTTTTTGCTATTTACAACATGAAGCGCATTAAACATTACATTACATCAAGGGTCCGCAAACTGGGGTTCATGAGGGGAACAGGTTCGTGAGTTTAATGAAACGCAAATAATTAATTAAATTTTAAAATAGGCTAACGTCAATCAAAATAAAACACTTACTAAAAAAAAAACTAAATATTGTATTTGTTTACCTGCATGTCATGTGACCATTAACCAATGTCAGAGAACCGTGAACATGCAAATTTGATACTTAATAATTAAAATATTTATTTTAAAATCTCAAGGGGACTTCAAGTAAAGTTCAGGAGGTTCAGATGACAGGAAAGTTTCTTATGCAAATAAGAAATAACGTAAATATGTGCATTTGAAAGACAAAAGCCTTCCAAAGACATAATAATACATGGTTAAATAACCCACTGAGCGATAATTCAAATAATAAATGAGTTCATCAGTAGTTGATGCAATGTTGCAATGTTGAGAAAACACTTATTAAAACTGAAATGATTTTTGTAAATCCAGTGGTCAAATGCTGTGTGGCGTCTTAGTTTACTGTGTAATTACAGTACTTAATTTTTGGAATCTGATTACGTAATCCAGATTACATGTAATCAGTTACTACCCAGCTCTGTCTATACGATATGAGCTCATTTATTATGTGACTATAGTAGAGTCTATTTAAATTCTTGCTGGCGGTGGGCGTGGCCTGCGGTTGACGTCACTGCCCGGAATGACCTTCATCTCGGGAATCCTCATCCACTGCGTGGGTGACATAATATCACTTTATTATAAAGAAGCGTTATTATTAACAGCACAGCATATCTGAGGGTCGTGATATAGAAGTCAAAAACCGTTAAATGGACCAAAATGATCTTTCTGATTAATTAAATATCTTAAAATGTGTCCCCTGCGATGTGAATAGTAAACCCACGCCCTGTTAAAGAGCAACACAGTGGATAAGATGTAACAAAATTATAATTTATGAAATTACATATTAGTGTTACACATTCGAATCATACGAATTAAATATCTTAAAATGTGTCCCCTGCGATGTGAATAGTAAACCCACGCCCTTTTAAAGAGCAACACAGTGGATAAGATGTAACAAAATGATAATTTATGAAATTACATATTAGTGTTACACATTCGAATCATACTGACAATGTTTTTTGCAATAATTTTATTGCAAATAAGTTACAGAATGCATAAAACATTCTGATCTTAACGCGGCGGTTTTAAAAACACGCTATTTTGGGTTGTTTTATGTGGAAAAATCCGTACTTTATTTACCATTGAGACGTGCAAGGATTTTCCCTGTCAGTATGAAATGATTTAAATAAAATGAAATATGCGGAATAAGTTTAAGAGTATAATATATTCACAACCAGATTATAAACGCATGATTTTTATTCTAAGGATTTGAACGTCTTTAGTTTTAAAGGGAAAGCCCGCAGCGGAGCGAACTATCTGCTCTACTAATAGGGGAGACGACATAACCACAAAACCACAAAACTTTTAAATCTCTGTCTGCATTGCACCCATATGCTTTCTATTTAATGATTTCATAATGATTTCTATTTCACATTCCTTCTCGGACTCTATTTGAAAAGTATACCGGCGCATCCCTCTATTTCCTCACTCTCCTCCCCCTCCGGGAACCGGATGGGATTTTCCACACGGTGTGTCAGGTGACACTTTCGGCCATTTTGTACCGCAGATACATCCTACAGGGTCCGTTAGGAGCAGTTTCCGTCATTCGGTTGGGGTTTAAAACCGTTGTTCTCTGCCAAACCGTTTACACTCAGAGCCCGGTACCCGTCAGTTTGTACGGTTCTGCCCGTGTCCAGCAGCATTAGTTCGGTGTTACTGGGGTTTTGAGGTGAAATTAGAGGAATAATGTCGTCGGGAAGCCCTGAATACTCGTCGTTCTTCGCAGTGATGGGCGCATCAGCAGCGATGGTCTTCAGCGGTAAATTTTATTTTAAATGTATTTATTTAACATATATGTTAAACATAATTATATTTGCATAATTATTTGATCTCGATTGTAATAAAAATCTCCCTCTGTTGGTCACATTATTCTTGATATCTGAGGAAATGTCATTCTAATTACTGGTATTATTTTTTATTATTATTATTAGAAAAATAGATATACTTATTTATTTAACAAATTTTTTTTTTTTAACTTTTATTAATCATCACCTTCAGATTTGACATCAGAAATGATGTCTGCATCATTATAATCCAATCCTGTCAGTGCTGGTTCCATTATTCCTGGTGTCTTATGAAATATTATTATTAAACACGTTCTTATCATAATTATGGTACATTTCATATTAGTTAAAATCTGCTTTCACATAATGATTTCTGTATGATCATAATCCATGCATGTCCTAGTTGAAAAATTGCTCATTATTGATATACCATTGTACTTTGATCTTAATATCAAATATTTATTTAATATATATATATTGCTGTAGCTGCAACCGGCCTCTGATTTAACCAGCTATGTGTGACAATTCATTCCCTGGTTTGGGTAGATTTAGAGATTATATTTTTATTTTATTTGCAGGGCAAGGGATTATTTACAAGGTTAAACTGTTTTTTTCCACAGGTATTGATCATCACTCAGGTTTGATTGGTTTCAGAGACTGAACTATTGAATTTAAGGTGCAGCCTGTAGTTGTGCATTAGATAATTATATTAACAATGTGATATTTCCTGATTTATTGAGTTTTTTTTGTTTTGTTGTTGTTGTTGTTGTTAAATTAACCCTAAAGTGCAAGTTGTTCTGATGCATATTATATTAAGATTGGTTTGTAGTCATTAACAGCTTTAAGGTGACTGCGAGTGGTGATGAGGAGCAGGTTGCATCATATCATCCATCACAGAAGACGACGAACTAGCCTGAAATAGAAATAAAAAAAAATAAAAAAAGATCTCTGGTGGATTTTAAATGGAAAATTCCAATGAAATGCAGACCTTAATTTCTTGCTAATTTTAACAGCTTGTACTGTGTGTCAGGATGCTGAGACGAGCTGAAATGTACGTGCAAATTACAGTAGTGAGTGTGTATTTCCAGCACGAGGCGTCATGCTGTTTATTCTCCGCTGGACTGTTAGAGGGCACTTCAGGCCTGTTTGGTCTGGTTATCTGTAACGTTATCTCTGTGAATGTCAGTATCAGGAATGCAAACAAACTAATACAGCAGCTGGTGTGTGTTTGTTTGTTTAAAATGCATACAAGTGCTGGCTGGAGAAAGTGTATTTTTCTATTAAGTGAGGTCAGCAGATGCTCTGCCATTTTGCGTGTGGATTTGCGATTGAATAATGCAATTCAATGAGAACGGCACTGAGCTCGAGAAAAAAAAACACGGGCAGGTCTCTCTCATCCACGCCTTTGTGAGTAAAGTAATGAGTTTGTGAGTCTAGAATTTCTTCTTGAGTATACATCCAGGTTCAGTTTGTCACTGAACATGAAAGCCAAATGCAGAGAAGAAACCGCTGAAGTTGATTTATTATTTATATATTTGAGGGATTCTGCTGCTTTAGATGTGAAATGCAGAATAAAGCTGGCGACCGCTCAGTTCTGTTTAGTGCTAAAATAAACTTGAAATCAAAATTAACTTGAATTACTTCATAATTTGTATTTGAACTCTTAAGGCCTGTTTGCATCAATAATTCTAAGTTGCCTGTAATGATGGTTATAACAACAACTGTATTAGAGTCCACACCAACAGACAGTAACGTTATTATACACTCTCAGAAAAAAAGGTACAAAAGCTGTCACTGGGGCGGTACCTTTTCAAAAGGCACACCTTTGTACCTAAACAGTCCATGTTAGTGCCTTAAAGATACATATTAGTACCTAAAGTGTACATATTAGTTCCTAAAAGGTACAAAAAGTGTGCCTTTTGAAAAGGTACTGCCCCAGTGACAGCTTTTGTACCTTTTTTTCTGAGAGTGTACTAAGCAAAAACGCTTTAAATTCTCCAGCTCTTGGATGGATTCTGATTGGTTGCCAGTGTTTTTATCGTTCATCAGCTGGAAAAAATTGATATTGTTACTCTGTGCAGTTACACTTATTTACACTTTATTGTTACAGATATCATTCTTGGCCTTTATTGTGCACAGTTAATACATTATTTCTTATAAAAACATGTTTGTCTTCATCAATTGCTCCGCTTCTCAAACGACTGTCCGTTTCAGGTGACATCATCAGGGCCTCTTATTTTTAGCCCCTCCCCTTTGTCCACCTGGCTCCATCCCAGTATGCAACACCCCTTTTATGATCAAATTAATTGTAGGTGGCCCTACATTATATGTCCTGTTGTTCCCATAAATGTCACATTGTAAAGTAAAACAGGTTTTGAATGCCGTTTCATGCTTTATATGTGTCTAGACGACAACAGGGCTTTTATTTAGCTTTTTTAAAGAATGTTCTGGATCTTATTTTTTTTTTATAGCTCAAATATACAATTAGTGCCCTTAAAGTGCATGACTCGTTTTTTTTTTTTCATTATGGATGCATTACTGTAACCGTGACTCATTTCATTTCAAATTTTTTTACTGAGAGATGAGTTGAAATTGTTTTCAGTGGCAATCTGCATTTTGCCACAAATGCCATCAGTAGAGCTTAACTTGTAATGAACCCAAAACATTTATTTATAATGGCCAGGAGTGAGCAAGTTAGATGTTGATCCAGACAGTTAGTCAGAAGGAACGGATGTATTTGATCTCAGATGTTCCACACAGAGGAAGTGAGTTATTCTGTGAATCCCTGTCATTCAGGCTCAGCTGATCTGATCAACACTGTGTTTACTTGTGGAAGAAGTGATGTTGTGACTAACAGGCGCTGTGCACACTGTGTCTTTGGAAGAGCTGAAGCTAATTTGGGATGTTAGTCTTTTATCTGACTTGGCATCCTGTCCTAGTTCAGTCTGTGCAGTCCTGTGCTCGTTTGTAAGTCTCTCTCTAAAGATGCCTCTACTAAATAAATGTATATGTTTAGTAAAGCAGGTTAGTATAGCAGAATGCAGTTGTTGCAGGTAGGCTATCTTCAGGACTAGTAGGGATGAATTATCTATAGGTAGTGATAGACCAAAATATCGTATAGCTGATTAATTGGATAATATTTGGGATATTTAAAAAAATATATTTTTTAACATCAGCAAATAACTTAAAGGCACAATATGTAAGATTTTTTTATTAAAATATCCAAAAACCACTAGAACAGTGTTGTGTACTTGCATTATCCCAAATGTTTCAAAGAATGTTTAAATCCTGAGAAATAAGCAATTTTAACTAGTGACACGGAGCGTGTCTATAGTGTCATCCATTTTTGGTCGTTGCATTGGGTGTTGCATATTTAAGTAAGACATGTCAAGTTAAAATAGTCATTAAACAGGGCACTTCTGATTCATTTTGGTTATATTTAGTTTTGCATATAATCTGTATCAGTCAGAATGTCTTTATCTGTATATCTCTAGTCTTCATTTCCAGACTTTTCCTCCATTTAATATGTCCATATCTCATTGAGGGTCAGTTCTGGTTCTTCAGGATTATCCAAAACCTTTCCTTGGTCACAGTAATTCATCTTAAATGTATCTAAATGCCAGATGGTTTTACCAAGATGTCTGCATCATCAGACCATGTTATGAATGAAAGGTCTACTTACTGATTTTTTTATTTCTTTTTTTGTAAAAATAGACATGACCTAACTAACTGTGTATACAAAATGCTGAATTGGTCACGCAAGACTTGCCCATCAACAATAAAGCAGAGTTTATTCGAATATCCTGCTTTAAATTATATTCAGCATTGGTTTCATTCATAAATTTAATTATTAGACCATTAAAATAAACTTCTGGGAAAAGCTTAGATTTTCTGTCAAATATAAAACTGCTAGAGCTTATATAATGAATATAATTTTATAGTGTTGCAAGAAAACATATTTTTTAATTATTTTATATAATTTATGGTAACACTTTACAATAAGGTGTCATTTGTTAACATTAGTTAATGTATTAAGTAACACAAATTAACAATGAATAATACATTTGTTACAGTATTTATTAATCTTTGTTAATGTTAGTTAATGAAAATACAGTTATTCGTGTTAGTTCACAGTGCATTAACTAATGTTAACAAATACAACTTTTGATTTTAATAATCCATTAGTAAATGTTGAAATTAACTAAGATGTTAATGTAGAAGTATTGTTCATGCTTAGTTCATGTTAACTAAAACTGGTAACTACTGTTAACTAATGAGCCTTATTGTAAAGTCTTACCTAATATTTATATTTATTGTATTTCATTGTTATGATTATTTTAATTTGTACTACTTAAATTGTTGTTAAACTGTGTTATTGGCTAGTTTGGGTGATTCTGTGCTGCAGTAGTAGTTGTAATCGTGGTTAATGCAGCAGGGTTACCCTTTAATCCCGGAAACTAAGATTAGACTAAGGTTAATGTGCAGCAGCATGTTAACCGTGAGCAGAATTAACAACTCTACACACGTCAATGTGTTTTCCAAGACTGCTGCAGTCAGATGTAAAATACAGAGGATTCATGCTGGGAGAAAAGAAAAAAAATTAATACAGACCTTCTAACTTGGTTTAGTTACCTGGTTTGAAAAAAATGTATAATAATAATAAAAATTTAGTTACTTGAAATAAAACAAACTTTAACTGAAATAAAATATTTTTAGTCGCCAATGCAGCATTTGTTTATTTTCATTTAATTTATCCTGATGTGCTAAAATAACTAAAATCTAAAACTGAAAAAAAAAAAAAAAAAAA